TCCATAGTGGCTGTACTAATTTGCATTCCCACCAACAGTGTAAGAGGGTTCCCTTTTCTCCACACCCTCTCCAGCATTTATTGCTTGTAGACTTTTGGATAGCAGCCATCCTGACTGGCGTGTAATGGTACCTCATTGTGGTTTTGATTTGCATTTCTCTGATAATGAGTGACCAACATCACCTCTTTAAACCCTATTTCCAGACACAGTCATATTCTGAGGTACTGGGAGTTAGAGCTTCAACACACAAATTTTAGGAGGACACCATTCAGTTCCTAACAGTTATTATAGAAATATGATGAAGTACAGAAGAACAAAAACAATTTTTAAAAAAAATTAACCATCTTTCTATTTCTTCAAGATAGTTACTTTTGGTGTAGATATTTTTTGCAGGCTTTATTTCTCTGCCCATGTGTATAAATATTAACAAGTAAGCTTCCTACTAACCTTAATGTTTTGTGACTTACTGATTTTCACTAACATATGTAGTGAACAACTTATCAGGTAAATAGATATACATCTTCGTTACCACTTTACAGAGTTGCATATTATTCCATTTTATATTTGTACAAACACTCACACTGTAACTTCTTTAACCAACTCTCTGTTGTTGGAATACTTTATTATCACTAAAACTGTTCTAAGAGGAAATATTTATAGAACAGTGACTCTAGATGACTTGATACAAAAATGATCAGATTTTCCTACTGTACGTTGTTTAAGTTTAAATTTTTCGTTTTGAGTCTAAGTTTAAAAACAGCACTTGGACAAGGTAACTACAACCACTAGGTGGCCCCAAACTGTCCCCGGGGGGCAGCACTCAGAGAAAAGGCATCTGTCGGTCACCTGCCTTTTGTCACCCTGCCCATCTGAACGTCTTATTTCTCCCTGTCATTACTGACCTCCCTGGGGCAGCTTCTCTGCAGAGCTCTGCAATGCATGGCTAACAAGCTTTTCCCAATTCTGCATTGTTCCAGGATATCGACATCTTCAGCTGCGAAATCTCCACAATGAAGTCTTGGAAATCTCTAGTTTATTCATAAACAGCAGGAGGATGGAAGAAAATTCCTCGGGCAATACTGTGCCGGCCTCTCTGGTAATTAAGTTCTATTTCACTCAGCATATTTGTGGGAATTGCGACACCAGAGGCAGGCTTTCTTGTGGTCCAGGAATGTGGTCCATTCGAGTCATACATTAGGTGGCTATGGATATAATTATAACAACAGTGGCTGATACCTGACACATTCTAAGCACTTTACACATATATTGACTCATTTGATCCTCACTAACTTCATGACATAACTATTAGTATCATCTCCATGTTACAAAGGAAGGGGAGTGCTAAGTACACCTGAGGTCACACAGCTATAAACCCAAGTTCATCATCTAGTGCCAAAGTACTTGCCAGGGAAGTGAGCCAAAATTAACAACACAGGGAAAAGGCTAATTACGCAAAGCCTGCTAGGAAGCATCTTGATACTTCTAGAAGATTTAGGTTAGACCAGGAAAATCCTTTGCTTCTTCAGTAGTGCAGGGGCAGATGTCACAGGCGAGCAGGATTGGGTGAGCAGCCAGGCGCTGCTGGCGACACGTAACTCTGCAAGCCTAGCAGTACCCTGGCACCTGAGGAGACTCAGCACCTGCACTCTCGGGAATGGGAGAGGATCACTGCAAAAAGGGCCACCATTGCAGAAGCTGGGTTTTAACAAGTTCCCCATTGGTTAAGGTCCATCGGTAAAGTTTGAGAACTGATGGTGAGGTCCATCGGTTAAAGTTTGAGAACCGTTGGACCAGCGCTCACCCCAGTAACGCAGGGCTGTTCACCTCGACAAGGAACTCTGCTTTGATTAACTGGTTGATTCCACTATGCTTGCTCTTGAAAAATTAAAGGGTGTCCATCCATTGCCTCTTTACATATCTAGTAATCTATTCATAGCCACACTGATTTTTTTAAAAGTTATTTTGGCGGGGGTGCGGCTGCAGTGGGTCTTCGTTGCTGCACACCGGCTTTCTCAAGTTGCAGCAAGCAGGGTCTGCTCTTTGCTGCAGTGCTTGGGCTTCTTGCTGCAGTGCCTTCTCTTGCTGGGGAGCGAAGGCTCTACGCGGACGGGCTTCAGTAGTTGCGGTGCTCGGGTTTAGGTGCTCTGCAGTATGCGAGATCTTAGTTCCCGGACCAGGGACCGAAACTGTGTCCCTGCGTTGGCAGGTGGATTCTTAACTTCTAGACCGCCAGAGAAGTCTGGTTGCATCCAGCTTATACTTCAGTGTGGTCCTAACAACCTTTGAAAAGCTGCCTTCTGTGCTCACAGTGGCGCCGACTTGACCACTGCCGCCATCACCTCTGAGCAGCCCTTTCTCCTCTGCTTCTCCTTCCCTCACCTCCCTCTCTCTCTGTCCCTCAGCTTGTTTTCTTGGGCTCTCCTCATTCTCCCTTCAGCAAGTGATCAAGGTTGAGTATAGCATGTTGGCCCACAGAGAGAGGTGTTGCCTCTGCCTGGTGCCTGCCTGTTAGCCTGCCTGCCTGGGAAGCAGGGACGATCTGCCTGGTACCTGAGAGCAAGAATTAGATGGTAGTGTCCCATTCTGGGTGTGTCCACTTATTCTCCTAGCTGTTCTATTCTAGAAGCCCCCAACCTTGAAGCCAGGGATGTCTTATTTCTCCCTGAAACCCCAGAGCCATCATTGTCAGCCTTCCATAAATTATTTTGTATTTTATGAATGAATCTATCTCAGTATACAAACTGCTCAAAGACTTGAGAGTTACACACCTCCCCAACTCTTCCTAACAAAAATACTTTTTATATCACAATTATTTGTGTGCCTGGACAGCAAGCTCCCAGAGGCCAGAATATTTTATTTATCATTTTACCATCAAAATTCTAGCCCAGTGCCCTGAAGAGAGATGGAACTCAGTAGACACTGTTGAATGTCACTTCATAAGTAAGGGCTGACATACACTTCAGACAATATCAGTCCCCTAATTATGATGGAAAGAAACATTGTTATTTAAAATAAATTGTTACTTTGGTGGTATGCTGCTAAATATTCTTACTAGACTATTAAGGAACATGCACTATTGCCTAAAACCACAAAAAGATGCATCTGGTTATAAAAGGTTGGCCTTATTTTGCATTTATGTGTCCCTGCGTGTACTTCTAAGAACCAGCACTTCTGTATTGATGTAGCCTAGAAACAGGAGAATGAAAATGAATGAGAAACCATATGATCTTCCTTGACAGATGTTTAATACAGAAGAAAGAAAATGTTTGCAGACTCACAGAGTCACAGTGCATGGCGTCCCAGGTCCAGAGCCCTTTACTGTTTTCTCTATAAACGGAGCCACTAAGGCAAAGCAGCTTCTCCAACAAGTAAGTTCACTGAGTCTATAGTTAAGAAACAGTTCTTTGAGAGGCATCTCTAGGTTAACATCTTTTCCAACATTTTACAACTGACTCAAAGTCAGAGCAGCTCAAGTGTCAAATTTCATAGATTATAAAACAGTAGCTACTACCAAGGGGTTTGGGCTGTTTTGTTTTTGAACTTTGGTGTCTACTCTCACAAAGCACTGTTTGGGTTTTGGAGACAGTGTAAAATATAAAGATGAAAAGTAAGGAAGCATTTCCATGGACCACCCATAAAAAGCAGCACATTACTGTCCACATGAGTAATCCCAGGGCTGTGGAGTAGACTGGAGAGGGAGTGATGCTGGCCATCTCATGGAGGTGACAGTGTCAACTGACCTGCTCCTGGAAGCTTCATGCCCTTAGTTGTTGCTGTAGTGGTAGCTGCCTTGCCTCACAAAATCCACAGTCCAGCATCAACCTGAGACCAAGGTCTGCAGTGAAGGGAGCAGAGTCTTCCTGAGAATCTTCTATCCCACCTCCAGCCCATCCCCAGGTCCTTCTGCTTCTCTGAGTGAGACCAATCAATCACCAAGTGCTGATTCTGGTCATTGCATGCTTGCATGGTCGTGTGGATGGATGCCTGAGGAGAAGGATGTTTGCTTACTACATGCCAGAAGTTGGCAGCCTTCTCTGGTCACTCAAAGTTCAGCTTTTGCCAGTAATCTGGATAATAGAAAACCATGTGAAAGAATACATCAGTAAGAGTAGCTATCATAATGTTTACCGGGGCTGCCCTGGTGGCTCAGACAGTAAAGAATCTGCCTGGAATGCAGGAGACCTAATTTGATCCCTGGGTCCGGAAGATCCCCTGGAGAATAAACCCACTCCAGTATTCTTGCCTGGGGAACCCATGGAGAGAGGAGCCTGGCAGGCTTTAAGTTATCCTGATGCACCTGGGTTACATTTTACAGTCAGTGCCTCAGTCATAAAAGGAAACAAAATTAAGAGACAGAATTGCTCCTCTTACTGTTTCCACTGTATAGATGAGGACACTGAGCCTCCACGGGGTCAGATATCTTGGCCAGAACCTCACAGCCAGTAAGTACTAAACGCAGGCCTCAGACCAGAGTCTGTTTGGCTCCCCAGCCTGGTCTCAGCCACTTCAACTGTCAGGGTCAGTAGCCAATAGAGAAAACAGGCCTCTAGGCACACTGTCAAGACTTTATTGAAAGGGGAATTCCCAGGAACTTAGATCAGATGAGATTAGAAGATGATTGAGTATTTCTAACATGAGAAGGGGAGATTATCTTGGTAAAAGCTGGACTGGGTTCTTTGCCTTTGGTCTTGTGTTGCAAGATTACAAAGAGCTAAGTTCACAGATTGAAAAACCTAAAGTTTTTAATTCAGTAAGAGCTCTTATTCCATCAGTGGGAAAAACTGTTTTGCTGGCTGGTGATTATGAATAAATTGTTTCATTGCCCAGAATGAACATAAACAATTCTTTTTGGACGTAAGAGAATTCTAAGATCTTCCAGAAAGAGTTATGCAACACTGCAGGGTAGATTTCATTTATAAATTGCAAACCAAACTTATCCGAACCCTGAGAACATAGACTTGTTTGGGTTTAAAGTTTTTGCCACTCTTCAGAAGTGTGCCTTAATCAGCCTTTGCTTTTTCTTTAGATTCTCGTTATGGATCAAGATACCAAACCTATTGCCACAGACTATTTTTTAATGGAGGAAAAATATTTCATATCTAAAGAGAAGAATGAATGTAGGAAACAACCATTCCAGAGAGCCATTGGTCCAGAAGAAGAGATTGTGCAAATTTTAAGCAGCTGGTTTCCAGAAGAGGGATACGTTGGCAGGATTGTCTTAAAAACCCAGCAGGAAGTAAGTGTGTCCTGGGGCAGCCTACACAGTGACAGCTTATATGTAACTCACTACCTCACCACTGGCCGCCTCCCTCCAATTCAGAACTTCTTATCACTGCAACTTGCTTTATAGTCTTTTTTTAAGTAAATGTGGAGAATCAATTTTATTCTTCTGCACATATTCAGAGGGTTAACTCTAAGTTATAGAAATTTGGTTTAAAAATCATCCCTTAGGAAACAAAGGGAGAAAGAACTCAAAGGATTCCTTAAGCATGTCATCAGTGTAGTGTCCAGTGTTTTACCTGAATGTGTGAAGACCTGGCTGTGAGGGTCACTGCTGTGTAATGGAAGGTCTGTAGGCATTTGCATTTGGGGGTTGGTTGCCCTCCCATTGCTGCTGCTGCTGCTAAGTCGCTTCAGTCATGTCCAACTCTGTGCGACCCCATAGATGGCAGCCCACCAGGCTCCCCCGTCCCTGGGATTCTCCAGGCAACAACACTGGAGTGGATTGCCATTTCCTTCTCCAGTGCATGAAAGTGAAAAGTGAAAGTGAAGACTCTCAGTCGTGTCTGACTCTTAGCGACCCCATGGACTGCAGCCTACCAGGCTCCTCCGTCCATGGGATTTTCCAGGCAAGAGCACTGGAGTGGGTTGCCGTTGCCTTCTTCGGTCCTCCTGTTAGTGCCTGTTCAAGTTTTAGCTAATAAAAGGTTTTTTGCTAATTCATGAAACAACAGCATTTCTTTGAAAATATTCCATAAGATTACACAAAGTAAGAATAACCTCTCAGCTTTGGTCTGAATTTGTAGCAGATTATATTATGATCCCTAATATTCCCATGATCATCCTGATAATGGAAACAGTACTGTCTGTTGACTCCAGATTGGGGGACTCCTGATGGGATTTGCTGATGGAGCACTTTTCTTTTTAATAGACTTATATTAGCCCACTGATTGACTGCCATTTTTAAAAATGACATATAAGGTCATTACACAGATAATAATGCCTTATGATAGATCAACAAGAAAGCAGTTGAAGCAGTTCAACAATCTGATTAAACAAATATTTATTGAGCACTTAATTGTGCCAGGCCCTGTTCTAGGCACATGATCTGCCTTTTTGAGGCATGAAATGGAGATGGACTGGTAAAATGCCCATTGCTGGTCCATGCTTGCTAGAACATAGAGATGATAAAGAGCCCATTTCAGCATCGTGTGTTATTTTTCGCTCTCTGTGTAACTATGAACATGGCCTGCAGCCTCACCACACTCCTGCTTCTCTAGGAACCAGATCCTCTGCATTTCCTCCTAACCTTGTCTTAGATCATAAAAGGACACTTCCTGTAAGCCAAGAAATGTAATTATCTCCCTAGCGTCTTCTCCCCATCAGACATGTACAAAGTACTAAGATCGCGGAGAAGCAATTCTAATCATAAAAGCTGTAGAAGAAAATATCAGAGGGCTCACCTGGGCTTTTGAAGCCATCTTTAATTTCTCTCTAATTTTTTTTCCTATTTCTAATTGTCTTTGTCACATGTAAATAAGTACACTAGGGACCTCCCTGGCAGTCCAGTGGTTAAGACTCTGTGCTCCAAATGCAGGGGGCACCGATTCGATCCCTGGTCCAGGAACTATTAATAAAATCCCTCCTGCCACATGGCCTAGCCAAAAAACCCGAAAAGTATCCTAGAAGTGACAATTTCAGTGAAGTGAATTTTTTAACCATATATTGCATCATGACTTACAGTGTTTAATGCTCTCAAGCACCCAATATTTTGAATCATCTTAAGATATAATGGAAACCATTCTACACAAAGGAAACAGGTTCAGTGAGGTTAGATTATGACAGGGTGAGAAGTAGAAAGAACTGAAGTCTTACGGCTTCCGGTCAGCATTCATTCCACCACCCCATGCTGCCCAGGCTGGAGCTGAGTCAGTGCTCGTGGCTCCTCCATGCCCAGCACCATGGGAGGCAGGAGGAAGTAGTGAGCAGCAATGGGCAGACTGCTGAGTGTCACGATGGGTCTTCATCACAGGGTTGGAAGGACTGGGAAACCAGGGCTGCCCCATATGCAATTAAAATGTATATGACAATAAGCAGTAGAGATGTCAGGAATAAATGTTTGATCAAGGCTGGTGGAACAGAAGCATTTTGCAAAAAGAAGGATATAGTAGAGGGGAAGGCTAACAAGCATTTTCTGATGAGTATAATATAGCAAGTTCTTCTTTATATGCCTTGTTAAGAGGAAAGTTTTGAAATGACTGAAATATGTCTCAAAAGATAAATCATATTTCATGTATCTAGGCTTACCAGCTGCACAGTGACCACAATACAAATTTACTGATTGACCAAATGAATTCAGCACTTACTGAATGGAAGCAGACACTGGCATAGTTGATCGATTTGGGCTATAAGTATTTCCACTTAGTCTACTCTGTGAAACTAGGAAGCTATGTAGGCAGTTTGTCCATATGTTAAAAGTTCCAAAGCTGCTGTCTTTGACCTTTGATCCTGCCTGTCTACTTTGTATAATTTTCTTGTTTCCTGGGCTCTCAAGCTGTTAGGTATCTTTCTAAGGTCAATATGCTCTCCTCTGACACCTGCTGGATTTGAAATGAGACAAACTCCACTCTGACACAAATTAGATAGATGACTTTCAAAGGATCATCTGAATTCTGTAAACTTCTGTGTCCATATTTGTAAAGTCTATGATAGAAACTGGGCTTCCCCTGTGGCTCAGCGGTAAAGAATCCAACTACAATGCAGAAGTTGCTGGAGACACAGATTAGGTTCCTAGGTTGAGAAGATCCCCTGGAGGAGGGCATGGCAACCCACTCCAGTATTTTTGCCTGGGGAATCCCATGGACAGAGGAGACTGGCAGGCTACAGTACATAGGGTCACAAAGAGTCGGACATGACTGAAGCAACTTAGCACACACGCCTGATAGAAACTACCCTGCTTGGCTCAAAAAATTATTATGAGACTCAAGTCAAATATGTAGATAAAATGTAGAAGAATGCTTAGTAAACTATAAAGGAAAATGCAAATGAGGATTATTGTTACGGTCATAATCTATGGCTCCTAATGTGACTGAAAACAGCTTAAAAATCAATAAGCTCTGAGTAAGGCTCTAAGGAGTGCTCTTAGAAATAATTCCTAGTGCATTGTCATTGTGTTATTTTATATGGCAACTTAGAACTTTTCTGTCTTGCTTACTTACATCCCGGCTTTCAGGATTATAAATTATGTCATGTGAATTACCACCCAACCCCACTCTCCAATTGGTTAAATATATTGTAATCAATGCAGAGACATACTATGGAAAATCTTTAGAAACTGGCATGAAATGATAATCACAGTCTTTTTTTAAAAGGTATTTCTGATGTGGACCATTTAAAAAGTCTTTATTGAATTTGCTACAATATTGCTTCTGTTTTATGTTTTGGGTTTTTGGCCCTGAGGTATGTAGCATCTTATCTCCCTGACCAGGAATCAGACCAGTACTTGCTGTGTTGGAAGGTGAAGTCTCAACCACCAGACCATGAGGGAAGCAGTCCCTGATCACAGCCTTTTAAGTAGAGAGAAAATGAGTTGTAGAACAGTATATGTACTACATTCTCATTTTATGTAATAAAAATAGAGAATAGCTCTCTCCCCCTCACGCATGATTTGATGAGTGGAATCCAAACACTTCAGCTGTATGTAACTCGTAGGGGTCACAACTGTAGAAACAATGAAATGATTGGAGCGAGGCTGTGCAGCTGATGGGTGAGAAGCCCCAGGAGCCAGTCCGTTTTGGTCCTGGCTACAGTTTGGCGCCACCTGGTGGCAGTTACCCATTTTGACCTTACGGAGGGCCCGGTAGGCTACAGTCCATGGGGTCGCAGAGTCGGACACGACTGACTTCACTTCACGTCACAGTTTGGCGCCACCTGGTGGCAGTTACCCATTTTGACCTTACGGAGGGCCCGGTAGGCTACAGTCCATGGGGTCGCAGAGTCGGACACGACTGACTTCACTTCACGTCACAGTTTGGCGCCACCTGGTGGCAGTTACCCATTTTGACCTTAATATCAACAGGGACAATTCTGGTTCCTAGGGCTGGTTGGAATTTCCAGGACAATGAGAGTGATTCTTGTATTCTTCTGGTTAGTTAGCACCGTTTCTGTGGGATGTTATGAGATTAAGCTAGAAGCATGCTGGGGACTGGAGGGCCTTCCTGCCAAATCCTCCCATCCTGAGGTGGGATTGCCTGTTTACTTGCCTCACCTCCCCATCGTCTCCATGCTGCCCCCTTGTGGAAGATAACTTTACACGACCCTCCTTTGAAAACGGCTCTAGCAAAGAACAGGAGCCATTTGACAATGAGGTAATATTTAANCAAAGAGTCGGACACGACTGAGTGACTAATACTTTCACTTTCAACTATGTATTTAAAACACATAATTATAAATGTAAAATTCACTGAAAGCCAACCCACCAAAAACCATCTAACCTGATGACCAATTCTCATAATTACTGAGAATTTTGTCAATATTCATTTCGATGTGACTTACCTCCAGTCATTGTTTTAGCCTTTCCACTGTGAGTTTTGTTCATTCAGCCTGCCAGAATGTCAATCTTGCATGTTTCACATTGCAGATGTCTAGCATTTCTTAAATGCTCAAGTTTTGTTGGGGAATGGATGGGATTTTTCTTAAATGTACTTACTGTATTCTTACTTGGCTTTTGCATGTGTGCTAAGTCGCTTTAGTCATGTCTGACTCTGTGACCCTATGGGCTGTAGCCCACCAGGCTCCTCTGTCCAAGGGATCCTCCAGCCAAGAATACTGGAGTGGGTTGCCATGCCCTCCTCCAGGGGATCCTCCCGACCCAGGGATGAACCATAATCTCTTATGTCTCCTGCATTGGCAGGTGGGTTCTTAACCATGAGCACCACCAGGGAAGCCCATTTGAATTTTAGTAACTGGAAAAATGGCATATTGTCTTTTTACAAATTTATCTCTAGCTTTTTTGTGGACTCAAAATCCACAGCAAACACGAGCAGATCTACTGGCTTGTTCGGGACCAGACCTTATCAGGGTGTCAACATTAGCAGAAACTTACAGTACTTTCCTCCTCTAAGATGACATGTATATCCTTCTAGGATAGTTTGTGAAACAGTAACTAGTGTATGGGATATCAAGCTAAGAAGTTGTTTCCACGTTACCAAGATCCAACTCAAATTTTTACTTAATTTTTCTTTCCTTATTCTATGTTATCATTTATTTACTCAGACTTTCCTTTTCTTAACATAGAACCTGGAGGAGAGGAACATTGCACAAGATGACAAGGAGGTGCTCCTGAGCTCAGAGGAGGACAGCTTCTTTGTCCAGGTGCATGACGTTTCCCCCGAGCAACCGCGCACGGTCATCAAAGCGCCCCGTGTCAGCACCGCGCAGGACGTCATTCAGCAGGTGAAGGCCTCCCCGCCCTCCCCCAGCCCTGTCCTCAATGTCAACTGCTGGGCCCAGCTCCCTCTGGGGATGAGGTTCTGGAACAAAGGGGACATGACAAGGCAGCATGTGCCTGGTAAGGCTGGGAAGTATCCGGTCCTTCAACGGTACTTGCCCAGTATGTGCTGAGTCAGGCTCTCTCGGAAGCCTTGACAGCTGAGCCAGGTGGTTCTGCAGAGCAGGAGTGTCATCGTCTATCACGTAGTGACCATCTCTCCGGGATCCTTCAGACGACATGCAGGAGGACTCTCTGACCCTCTCCCCTTCTGTGTATGTGGCTTCAGAGAACTCTGCTGCCTTCATTCCAAGCCCTGTAGTGGTTTGTGTTTATTAAACACTTGCTTGAGAAGTTAGCATAATGGTTCACAGCACAAACTCTAGATCAGGTTGCTCCAGATGTAAACCCTGGCTCTACATTTTACTAGCTCGGAGAGCTTGGGCAAGTCATTTAACCATCTGTGCGTAAGTTACATGGGTGTGCTGGTAAATTGGCTCTCTTTAAAAAAAAAAAAAAGACCCTGATTTGTAGCATTTGTAGTTTCTATCTTGTACATTCCTCACACATCAGATTCCAATGGGCTCCAGCACAATGCCATGTGCCAAGCTACCACACAGGAAAACATGAAGATAGTATAACAGCACTTTCTTTATAGTTATTGTGAACATTAAGTAAATATATGTAATGGACATTTGCCTAGTATAACACCTAACATGGCAAGCACTATTTAAGTGCTATTTGCTACACTGATTGCACAATAATTTGGTTAATATTAGTCTCCTTAATAGGGGAGACTTTGAACTCCCCAGACTATATACAGTGTCTGGAACATAGTAAATTTTTGATGAGTGAATACATGCATAAATGAAAGTCTTGATAGAAGATAAAAGAGAAGCAAGACCAGGTAAGTCTTAAAATGCCTTCAACATCCAAGACCAAGAGATGCAGAAGCAGTGTCATGGGCCAGAGAGGCTCTGGAAGGTCAGGATTCTGTCCCTCACTGTCTGGGTGACTTTCAGGTCTATGAACTTTGGTGGATGCAAAAAATCTGGCTCAAGTCCTTTTTGTGTTACTTACTAAGCTGTTCATCCTCTGGAATCTGCCTGACCTCTTAAGTTTAAGCTTCCTGGTCTGAAAAATGGGGATTAGAACGTCTAAATCATGGATGGGTGCTGTGAAGCTAAATGAGGCAATATGGGCAAGTTTGTATAAGCTACAACTGTGAAAATGTAAAATGAGAAGTGGGATGACACAATCTGAAAAGGGTCCTCCAACCCCCACCCCTGTCTAAAAGTCTGTGACATTTTTCCACCTTAAAGTCTCATTTACAGGGAAGCAAGTGTTGGAGACACTGTGTCTTTATTCTGTTGATCGTAACTTACCTTTCAGACCTTATGCAAAGCCAAATATTCCTATAGCATCCTGAGCAACCCCAACCCGAGTGACTATGTGCTTTTGGAAGAGGTGGTGAAAGACACCGCCAACAGGAAGTCTTCCACCCCAAAGGCCTCCCAGCGTGTCCTTTTGGATCAGGAGTGTGTGTTTCAAGCTCAAAGCAAGTGGAAAGGTGCAGGAAAATTCATCCTTAAGCTAAAGGAACAGGTGCAGGTAAAGTTCAAGGTTATTTTGCTCTATCTGATTTTCGTAACTACAGTATAATCAAATTCAGGAACTAGTGAAAGCCAAAGGAAGTTCCTGAGTCAAAGACACTAGTGGGAAGAATTTTGCTTGGCTCTATTTTCCCCGTGTGGAAAGAAACGTCTTTCCCTCTGGGTGTAAGCAGTCCTGAGGTGGCAGGGGGGTGGGGGGTCCCCTCCGCCCTGCTTTCCAAAGCTCTGCCTACTAGAGAGAGAACAAGAAAGGGCTCTGATACAGTCTCTTTAACCTAATACCAAGGGAAGGTTCTTATTTTCCACAGGCATCTCGTGAAGATAAAAAAAAAGGCATCTCTTTTGCAAGCGAACTCAAGAAGCTCACCAAGACTAAACAGCCCCGAGGACCCACATCACCTTCTCAGGTCTTGGCCTCAGAAAATATCCAAAATAAGGAAGAGAAACCTATGGGTGGCATGCCTTCCAGTGACGCCACAGACTACCGACAGTGAGCAAGATAGCACAGTTTACCCAGGTATCCTGAGTCAGTGACTCAACTGCAGCATTCTAAATGGGGGTCAACTATACTACTTTGTAAGACATAAGTTTGTGCACTGTCTTTTGTCTTTTCCTAGAGGAGGAAGTCCGAGGCAGGTAGGGATGGAACCCTACAGAAAAGGGGCTCTGAAGATACACATGACTTCAGCACTGATGATTTCAGACCTCCTTCTTTTGTAGATAACCAGAGGCCCCAAGAGGACAATAAACTTGCCCAAACTACAGTAGCTTTATTTCATCAGACATAGAACTATCTTAATTACTGGTAATTCATATGAACATTCTCAGAGGACTACTATGGGTCATTCTGTTTTCATTCTTTGGATTTTTAGTTTGCTGTTCTTCTAATTTAGGTCTGATTTAGCCTCAACAACCTCCATTTCGTCTGACTCAATGGAAAAATTAAAATCTGGCATGCAGGTTGTGATGATTAAAAAGAAAGCAAAATGACATAACAGCCTGAAGTAAATCATGCCTTTGGTTGCCAGCTCACTGCTTGGTATTCACGTACAGAGTAAATTTCATTCTGTTTTAAACTATTTAAATGGATCTGAATTTTTTTAAAAAAGGCATGTGAGGAAACCAAACATAGATCTCTTCTTTCACTTAGTTCCTTAATGAACTCAAGGGATTATTAAAGCCCTCTTTTCACCTGTTCCATCATAGAGTTCTAAGATTTAAAATCCTTGAGAGACCAACAGCATGGTGAAGGCATTCTTGCTTATATTACACAGCTGCATCATCTGTCTGCATCACAATCAGGTATTTCTTATATAAAACTGTAGCTCACAATTAAAAGAATTTATTGATACCTCTTGATGGGGCCAAATCTGACTTACAAGAGCCCACATTGAGCCAATGTTTCAGAAGCAACTCCTAAAACAACTGGTGCCCCGGATACACTTACAAAGAAACCTCTTTCAAAACAGGCATAGTGAAATACAGGAAATCACCTTCTCTAGAGCTTCTGCACACCCCACTATTCCGAGTCAGGGCTGTTTAGGTTCTGTATGCAAAGACTCACCAGAAAGAAATCTCAGCACCATGGCAGCAGTCCACATCATACAGCATCAGATAATACTGAATCTGCAAAGAATAGTGAAACCCTGGGCTGTTCCAGACTCTGAGAAGGCTCAGCACCCATTTTCTGTTGTGGTACATCTGGTATTTCACACCCTCCCCCCTTTTTTATAGTTATCTTTATTACCACCTTCCTTCCTCTTAGTTCCCTGACCAGGAATTGAACCTGGGTCCTCAGCAGTGAAAGTGCAAAGTCCTAACCACTGGACCACCAGAGAATTTCCTGGTATCTTGTTTTTAAAGTTCCAGACTCAACTTACTTTCCTTCTCAGTGACAGTGTCACTGAAATAGTGCCTTCTCCAAGAACTAAGTGAGCTTTAGGATTAAGCACCATGTTGAGCCTCTCCAGCCAGCTTTTGGAAAATGACTCATCATGGTAGTGGGTCTGTGAGCACACAGTAAAGACAGTGATCAGAATTTCAAATATTGTTCTCCACATTAAGAACTTAGCATCAAATAAATCATAGGTGTGATAATGTTATGCACACCTCTCACTTCTCTGTTATAACCTCTGTTAATGATGGAGTGAAATTACACTTGGCAGAGGAAGAGCCCTGGGTGTGCCATAAGATTAATAAGTACATAATACAACTCCATTAGAAACCTGACTTCAAAATAATGTGCTTGCTCTAATGAGCATTACTGATTGCTTATATTTTACGAGAATAGGGAAGGTGGTAGTGATTTAGATGATTGCCTTTGGATTCAATTTTCCTATCATAAGCAGAAATTCATAATCAGTCAGTTGACCTCTTTCCCTAAATTTGGGGAAGGTTCTCTTTAACAGTCATTGAAAGAATAATAGCCATTGGTGCATAGATGTATATATGGTAATATATGTCCCATGTTATTAACTTTACAGAGTGTCTCCAAGAAAGAGCACTTGTGAAAAAAGAAGGGCCTTTCTGTATATGCTCATAAGAAAACAAGTTCAGTATTTTTATTGCTTTCTGAGCAACATAATATTTCATGTTATTTGTTCTGAAATATTCACCTCTAAAGTTTCAAGAGTTACCCCCTAATAATAACCTAAGAATTTCTAAACAAGTTATTATTTACCTTATCTTAAGTAATATATTTAACCAGTTGAAAGAAGTCCACCTTTTTAAAAAAAAAAAAAAGCTGAACAGTTTAATTGTGGTTAAATAACTTTCTAAAGAATGTGGTGTTCCAGGGCAGAAATAGCCTAATGTTCCACCTCCCAGGAACATCATGTTCTAACACTAAGAATTTATAGGAAATACTCTCTGCCCCAAACCCAGCCACCAGAGCTGTGGGTTTCTGTTGGTTGAACAACCCTAAACCTTGCTACACTGTGAATTGTTTCTGCTGCTTCACTTTGAAGATATTAATACTAACAAGCCTATGTATACAACTTTACAGGTGAAGATCTTTTGGCAAGAAGTTAAAACCAAGAACAAACATAATGGAGACAAATATAAGTCCCTTATTTTCATAAACTAAACTGGAAACTTAACGATTTCTGAACTCTTGATACGAGGTCCACGCTGAGGTCAAGCAAAATGGTACAGGCCTTGCTATCAACTGGTTTCCTACTGAATGAAGCAAAGAAGCCCAGCAGACTGCCATTTTACATGTCAACAGTTGGAAAAACCACCGCTAAGCTTGCAATAATTGACTTAGAACAGGAGTCAGCAAACTTTTGTAAAGGGCTAGTCAGTAAATATCTTCGTTCTTATGGGCCAAATGGTCTCTGTTGCAGTGACTCAGCTTAGCGCAAAAGCAGCCATAGACAATACATACATGATTGAATGTGGTGGCTGTGATCCAAGGAAACTATTTAAAGACATTGGAATTGGAATTGTATATCATTTTCCCATGGCATAAATATTCCTCTTTGGATTTTTTTAAAAAATCATTTTAAAATGTAAACTATTCTTAGTTCAACAGCCACACAAAAGCAGGTGGCAGGCTGGATTTGGCTCAAGGGCCACAGTTTGCTGACCTGACTTAGAAAACTGGGAACAAGATGCACAGAGGTAAGAAAACAAGCAGGCTAGTTTAGTCATACCTATTATGGCTAAGAATTGGAAGCTTTGGGGCATTGCACATGTAAATATGTCCTTTAGGACTCATTAAAAAATAATTCAACCTACTCTCTGTATTGTGTACCATCGTGAACTCTCCTTTAGTGTTTCTTTTTACATATAGAATGATGTTGGGTTTTTTATGTTTATCACTTATATTCACAGACTTTTTGGTTTCTACAAAATGAATTTAGAATAATGTTATCTACTGAGTTGTGGCATCTTAGTAAGAAACTTAACCATGTTTCTAACGCAGAAGTAGACTGAGTTGGTGTTTATTTATTTTACGAGGTTTGTACTGACACTGTACCTATGTATTTATTATACATAGCTTTCTTGATATTGCTTGCAGATTAGAAGCATTAATGGTTCTATTTCACTATTTGAAAACAAATCTCCTTAAAAGAAAATGTATGCCCTGAATACCTGAAATAGGCCAGAATTTTATGTATCTTGCCATTTAATGTAAATTATTTTTAAAACCTTGATGTATAAGACTATCATGTAAGTGGTAAAGGATTCGTCTTGTTCTTGGCACGAAGCAAATTGTGACTCTTCACATAAAATGTGTTCCTCTAAAGTAAAATCCAAATTTTATCTTTCTAATGACCTTCAAATTTGATGTTTTTCTTCAAATTATAAAACATACTAAAATCTCTAATCTCTGCTTTGAGACATTTTCACCATAAAAAAAAAAAAATGAATAAAACAATTCCCTTTCTTTGTGTACTCTAACAGAAGTATCAAAAACACAACACAGCTTTCATGTTATTGGAAGTTCTGACTAAGTCAAAGCCTTGTTGCTGACTAAAAGAATCACCGTTTGCTTGTCAACAGCATTCAGGCTATTTCAATTTGATGCTGTTTGTATAGTACTACAGGTTTCTTTTTAAATGAAATAATCAGTCTACAACAAATGCACAATGCTGCCTTCACTTTAAAAATTCTTCCAGAAATCTCAACTAATGGGCATTTTTGCCATCTGTTTGGGCTTTGCTGTGCTTAGTCACTCAGCCATATCCCACTCTTTGCGACTCCATAGACTGCAGCCCACGTCTCCTCTGTCCATGGGGATTCTCCAGGCAAGAATACTGGAGTGGGTTGCCATATCCTGCTCCAGGGGAGTTTCCCAACCCAGGGATCAAACCCAGGCCTCCCGCATTGCAGGCAGATTCTTGACTGAAGGAGCCACCAGAGAAGCTCTGGGTTACTGTGCCATAAAAATCGAGTCACAAGTCTAACTGGCTAGAGTCAAGATGAGGACTGTGCAGAGCAGTGAGGTGGAAAGCAAGACTGGTCTCACTAGGTTTTATCAACTGGTCTTGACTCTAAGCCCTCCATCCCACCCCAGGGTCCTTAGCATAAAATCTGGAACTTACCTTGAGGCTGGTTTTAGCAAGTGGGTGAACCCAGCCTTCTGCCTATGTTGCAACCCATCTTGGTTGTTCATCCCATTGTGAGGTAAAAGTACATACTCTAAGGTATTTGAGTCCTAGGGATTTTAGGAGGGACACATTGCTCAAAAATGTAGAGGGTTTACTCTATTATTACAACTAACCAACACAACCTGGTGTTTGCCAAAAGTAAGAAATTTTGATTTAAAGTTTCTCTGAATTATACAGCTGTATTAGTATACCAAATGAAAGAAATTGTCCTACTGTTTAGAATGCATCTAAAATAGCCACCCAGGCTTATACCCATTACCATTTCATTTCAGACTACTAAAAACCTGGGTAGCAAACTTTCATCAGTAAAGTTGATATGGGAAAGAATCTAAATATGTAAGCTGGGTTTATTGCAAGATTTTGAGGAAAAATATTTTAAGATGCTTCACTGAAAACAGAAAGAAAGGAGCATGAATTCTGTCCCTCTGCTGGGTGATTCCAACTTTTAAGATTACGAGAGTTGGCAGGAAAGGATTTAGACTGGGAATCCAATGTGATGTGTGACGCCAGAAGAAACAGAGTAACTTCCTATCACCTCATCTGGAATTTACTGTTTTGCCAACTAATGTAAGATCACATAAGGGTGTGAAGGAGTTGAGAATAAGTCTGAGGATAAACTTGTAGGAAGTAACAACATTATTTGGGCAGAAAGTGCCCTCCTGAAGGAACACCTCCTTTCATGTCATCTTTAGCAAGTAAAAGTTATATATAAATTCTCCAGTTGGGGGGAAATACGGAGTCCAGACTCAACAAAAGCGAGTCAAAAATCAAATTTACTTTTCAACGAAGGTCTCCCATCTTGATGGATCTGGAGACAGTGGAGGCTCATTAATGACAGCTGGCCTCCCCAGTGGCTCCGTATGTTCTTTTCTTAAAAACCACATCTTTCCTTTCCTCTGTTCTCTCCCTTTCCAATATCTCTGTAGACCTCTCCTCCTCTGCCAGACACCCACAGGCCTTGCTTAATTCCAAAAAGTAATAAGACCTTGTGTACTGGTCTGGTAAAACAGAATTAACTAACGCATAAAACTCCACAACTCTGCTCCCATGCCACTAAGGAGGATTTTCCTAGCTGGTGTCTGATCTTAAACATGGCACAGTGAGAGGCTGCCTACAGCGAAAGAAATCTCTAGATGGCAGCCTTGAACCCCTCCAGTTGTTTCTCTCACATCAGCAGCAAGACAACAGGGCAATCCCTGGGCCCTCCAAAAAGTTACTAGAAAAGGAGACTGCCTGTTACACCAAGCCCACACCTCGGTCAACATTTCCATGATACGGTACATTGTTAACAACTTAAATGTTCTCTGTCATTGCTACCTATCAACTTCCTAAGGCCTGATGGCTAAGGATTTTGACAGGAACTCCTGAATGTCTTTGAGATACTGAATCGTCAAGATTACCAAGCTGTTTGTATACATCTCTTAGATCCAAAACATGCTATGCTGAAGTCTGCCATTAAGCAGGCCTCTGAAACCTTCCCTATTTCAGATGATACAGGTCTCTGAACTTCAACAACTTACTTTGACACTCAACTGGGTAATGCCTCATTCAAACAAAAATGATCTGACTCAGCATACAAGGGCATGGAAGACTGAGGCTATATCATATGTCTGTTGTTAACCCAGTTCACTTTGAAGTGCCTAGCACAGTGCTAAGCACATAGTAGGTGTTCAATATTTATCTAGTTAAAGAAACAGATATTAAGACTAGTTTATAATAGCCTCGGGCTGTATGTCTGTGTGTTATCATTAATGAGTACAATATTTAGCTCTGAAAATGAAACCCATCAGTACAAGACTGTAGAAGTTAAATGCATAAGTATGTTTCATCCTCAATTCAATGGCAACCCACTCCAGTACTCTTGCCTGGAAAATCCCATGGACAGAGGAGCCTGGTGGGCTGCGGTCCATGGGGTCGCTAAGAGTCGGACATGACTGAGTGACTTCACTTTCACTTTTCACCTTCATGCATTGGAGAAGGAAGTGACAACCCACTCCAGTGTTGTTGCCTGGAGAATCCCAGGGATGGGGGAGCCTGGTGGGCTGCCGTCTATGGGGTTGCACAGAGTCAGACATGATTGAAGCAACTTAGCAGCAGCAGCAGCAATTCATACAGGATATTCAAATACAAGATGTATAATTTTATGGTCCCACTGTGATTCTCTGCATATGTAACAAGAAGGTTAAAAGCATAGTGCAACTGTGGAATAGTTGATGAACTTCTATTTTAAAACTGATCTTTCATTTAAAGTACAGTTTCTGCTGCCAAAGTGAAATATAAATGTATTTATATATGTTTGGAAAAATAAATGATTTGTGACATGTAGTGGTCACTTGTGTTCCAATGGGGAAAAACCCCTGGGCAACCAAAAAAAAAATCAAAAAAACTCCGGCCTTTAAAAACCAAAAAAGGGGGTAAAAACAAAAAATTAAAAGGTGAAACAAAAAATTCCCAACAATAAAAAAACAAACCCAAAAAATGAATTTAAAAAACAAGTGGAACGCCGGGCCTTTTTTTAAATCCCAAAAAAAAAAAAAAAAGCAACCGGTTTAACCAAACAATCAAAAGAAAAAAAAATTAAAAAACGGGAAATAAAAAAACTACTTCATAGGCCATTCCTAGATTATGTTAACAGTCACATAAAATACTACTTTTTTACCTATATTCCTAAGAATAGGCATTTCATTCATTTAAAAAAAAGGGACGGGGGGAATAAAATCAAAGGCCCCCGTGCTGCATGCACACTAAGCTGCTTAAATAGTGTCCAACTCTTTGCAATCCCACGTAGCCTTCCTACTTCCTCTGTCTGTGTGATTCTTCAGGCAGGAATACTGGCGTGGGCTGCCAAGACCTCCTCCAGGGGATCTTCTGACCCAGGGATCAAAACCACATCTCTCACATCTCTTGCACTGGCAGGTGGGGTCTGTACCACTAGTGCCACCTGGAAAGCCTAAATGACCCTCATTGGATATCTTTTATCCTTAAGACAGAATGGTAAAGTCTCAAAACTTCTTTTTTCCACCTGGAAGGGATTTTTCCCCTTTCACCCTCCAGAGCATGTCAGAAAATATGAAGGACTTCAAACAGACTAGAATCACACTCAAACTTTCTGCAAAAGCAACCATGATGAGCAATCATTTTTTTCCCCCATATACCAAATTAGGTTACTTCTTGAAGTTTATTGTCCAGTAAGAGCCAAAGAACCTGGTATCCAATTGCAAGCTATTTTCCCTTTTCTCAGAAATTTTCATAAAAATATATTCACTCGAATTTAGACTGTTTCTCACTTCCGTCATGGTGGTGCAATAAAAATAGATTTATTTGGTTATAAAGAGTAACTGACTGGTAAAAAGCAATCTCACAGTCTTGATTTTCCTGTGCGTATTTTTAGGATTGGGGCCGAACCCTGTGCCACGCAAAAGATAATTCTTTCTCCTCAAGAGAAAGTCCTAAATTAACAATATATCTTTATGTGCACCTGCACAAACACACAAATATACATGAAGTCCACTGACTCCTCATTCTTCTACTACCGTAGTGATGTTTCCAAACATTTGGTGAAATCCAGAGGCAACTGAGTAGCAACTTGACTGCAATGTCTTTTGATCAGTTGACTTAACTCT